TGGAATATAGGAATCAAAGAAAGCAGAAATGTCGGTCCGAGTACACGAGGGAGATATATGCACATTGGTAATGATTGTACTTTTGTGACGAGAAAATTCAGGGTGACAACGAAGAGACAAGCAGTCAATGCACTTTCAGAGTAGTTAAATATAACTTCTGACTTGCCACACCAGGAAACATTGATGTAAGTAGCCACACCGCCTCCGGTTTTTTCCTACTTCGCTGTCTATCCTGCTGGTAGCAATCAAACCCTTCTATTCGCACGAGAACGTCTTCGATGTTTTGTTTTAGCCATGTTTCCTGCACACAAACAACACATGTGTTGGAATTAATGCGTGTGTTCAGAATAGAGGTTAAACCCGAGATCTTTGCGAATAGTGAGCGAACGTTGGTGCTGACCAATGGTGGCACAGTCATCTTGGCAGGAGGTGTGCGAGTAAGTGCAGTCTGCCATCCGGCCGTCGGCGTTTTTTGATCAAAGGGCTTTTATGACTCTCACCAAGCAAATAATCAGTGGGTAGCACAGAATACACAGTTTTTAGTCGTAGCATGTCATGACGGGACTATTTGTAGACCCTGGTCATGATTAGCACCGTTCTGTGGATGAGTTAAACGATAAATTCCAACGTGACGAACAAGCACGAGAGTGTAGCGCAGCCAATCGAAGGGCGCGCATTTACAAAGAAATTTACGTAGAAATGATACCGCATCATTTGGGCGGCTAGAATGGCTTTTAGCACTGAGAGCATTTCTGGCGCATGCGAGTATGTTAGTCGTTATTAGTTCAACTTGACACGTAATCCGGAGTGTTTGTAGAAAAGATATAGGCTGTGAAGTGTTTGGCTTCAGAAAATCAAAGGCTATCAGAATCAATCAAAACTTTTGGGGTTGTTGCTAGAATCAGCAGGAATAGTTCAGACAGTTGTTACATACCCCAATGGGTAGAGTGCCCAAAGTCTGTTTGTGAGTTCCTTCGCTTGAGTCTAATTTTCAATGAGGAACCTAAGTGAAACCTCGCCAGGATACCGGAAGGTTCTTTCCAACTTTCGGGTTCTATGAAACTAGCTAAACTTGTTGATGCTTGTAGCACTATATGGTTTAACTAATTTCCGGCAAAACTGCAACGTATGATTGTCAATAGTTTCATAAGCTTACGCAATTAACTGAAACAGTGATAACCTAAAAAAGTAATTCAGTCATACACGACCTTACGCGCTAGCTAAGGGAATGTACAATAAATGCTGGGGAATGAGGTATTAATAAAAATAATAACAACCATATACTTGGTATTCATTATGTGTATGTGTATGTACAGTGGATTTATAGGGGAAAAAAGACAGCTAGCCAATACAGGCTACAGTCGGATGAAACCACAGATGGAGTTTAGACTATGATGGTGGGGTTTGAAACCAAAAATATGGTACTGCGTGATGAGAGTCCTGAACCTCTCGACCATTCGGTCGGTTGTAACGTACACTTCAAGCATAAATACATGATTTGCTGATGAATTTCATGCGACTGATAGTCATTATTCTAATGTTGAAAGCATCACAAGTGCTTTCCCTACGATTCCGAATTCAGTAGCCAACATTTTAAGAAAGTCTCCTGTTTAATCTCTGTTTATCAATTTGGTACTCGCAAACATTTCATCACAAATACAATTGGTTTCCTTACACTATCCCTATATTCCGTATTCCCGGAACTTATTGATAGAAATGATAACTGTTGAATGCTTAGTGTGTGGTGATGAGAAAATCATTGAGAACGGACGCGAAGCGCGTCCATTTCACGCATCACCGCTCCGGTCGGGATTGGAATCCAAAAAGTACCACCCTAGCTATTGGCCTTGTGCGAATGAACAATGAAAGTCCAGTTTCTATAACTGTACTTCCGGATCAACCAACCATCTGACGAAAAAAGCAATAAGAGAGGCTGAAGTCCAATAGTATTTTTTCGTCACCGTGGATGAAAATGATGACGTGACCGTTTTGAGGTTAACGGGAATATCTCGCGATGTGATAGCAATTTGCGCCGGACATTTTTTACCAGATTTTACACTTCTGAGACACATACCACTACTGTCTACTGAAGGCAGCTATAGAGAATAACGATAAAGACTCGATTTTGTTTGTATAAATCGAATAAGGAGGTGAATTAAATAGGCACGAAAACTGTTTATTGGTTCAGGCACGCTTGTCTAATGGACAGAATGAAAATTTATTCCGAGAATGCTTTTTCCAATCTATGGCGTTTTGCATTTATTGGTTAGACCAAAATATTTCCACGAAACTATTTTGTAGCTCAAATCGTTCACCACTGAGGATTACAGTGAGATCTTTTGAGGTAAAATTATTTAAATATGAGACCTAGTGGCGAGATTACTGGTCTGCACTCTCCCATACACATTCATGTACCGTCAGTGCCCCATCGACAATAACCGTGCGCTATTCTTCCAGTCCTAACGTTTTTCTATCGAATATTCGTTCCGATTTCTAATGAATGAAACCAATGAATAAATGACAAAAACAAGTATAATAATAGTACGTTCATTTTTTACAGTCATACCCTTTGCATTCACGTTTAAAAATACCAAATTTCCAACTCATCATCCAAAAAATTATATTGGTTCTTCATCAATAAATGATAGAGAGATGAATTGAATGATCCTGTTTTGCTACTCGGATTCAACATTTTGCGATTAAGACTGATCATCCTTCAGTCCTTGTCTTCGCTTACAAATCTCATTAAACCGCACGACAGTCAGATTTGAGTTCCAGTTAAAGTGGAGTTTATAACGGGTACGTACTTTGTGTTGGAACTTCTGAGTTCTGGCTTGCCAGAAGTGTTTCTTAGCGCTTTGTAAACCTGCTCCCAGTAAGTCTATGAAACCCGGATCGGTTTATGCCACCTTTGAGCTGCCTATCCGCATATTGATCTATGTTTGCATATAATTTGTGTTAAACGCATCTTTATAGCTATTATATTGTATGCTTTTAGCCACAAGTGATGGTTTGTGTCTTTGTGGCATAATGCAAACCTTTTAACCAGCTATTTTGATTTTTTGTTCTTCTCATCCACGTTTTTGTTCTTTTTCACTAGCCCAACAAGATACACACTGAATGAACTGTTAATCGTTTCTTATACGTAATTTCATTGCGCACTACAGTGCTTTGAATCACAAATAAACAGCACGAACGAAGTTGATGGGGCTCGGAAGAGTCAGCTGCTTTGCTCAATCTGACATGATAATTTCAGAATAATAATCTGCGGTTTCTGTCAGTCAGTCAGTCAGTCAGTCAGTCGGTCAAAGCACATCCCACTCCACCAGCATGCACGAACAGGAAGACACTGTGCCTTTCGGCCGATTAAAGTCCAAAAGTTGAATCAACGAGTTCGTTTTGATCAAGTTTAAGTGACTTTTGCAGCACAGAGTTTGTTCAGAGATTCGGATACCTAACAAGTAGTCAGACAGAACAGTAAGCGTCTCTGTTGGACTAAGGGATTTACGAGTATGAAACCGGTTTAATCTACCCGTACACACGCATACACACAGACGCACAACACTCTGTGGTGTGATGGTGTGCATATATGGTCTACGTGTTGAACGGATTGAGGATGACTCGAAGTCGTAGCTGAAATAGTTGAGGTTTGAACAGATGACTCACTCACTGTAACATCACCAAAACGACCATGATTCGGGTAAGAGCTCAACCGTGCAGACAAACTTCGTCTCTCTGTTTGCCTCGTCCGAGTGGTGGTAAAAGGTTCATACCACAAAATTTTACTGCACGCATCAGGAAACTTTCGGCCCGGTTTGATTTTTTTGTTCAGAGATAGCTGTAGCGATTTGAATGCCTTTTTGTTTTTCTAAGGTTTTTTATGATCCAAGTCGTGATATTCTATTGCTGTACCGTCAAATTCGAATATAGCATATCTATCTGGTCGAGAGTGTGACAATAGACAGTGTTTCAACGTATATGAATGAGTAAATTTTCCCAGTGTATTTGGGATCCGGTAAATTAATTTTTCAGCTACTGTGAAAGTAAGACCCATCTGTTAGAAGAAAATTTGTGAAAATATGCCTACCATTGAGTCTTAGTTAGGAATTCCATTACAAATCCGAAAGTCTCACACCTGAAAAGAATTGTGAGAGCTGTTCACTCATAAAGTTAGCCACCGAAGAATGTGAGTCCAACCTGCGATTCACTTTCTCGAATTTCGAATCTCCGAATGGCTGTGCGAGCATACCATTGAGGTTTTAAATCAGGAAACTTTTCAATTTGATATCTTGACATTGATACTAGATAAGTTTGAACTTACCCAGAAGCTTTCCAGTACATATTTATTGCGAAACACGCGTATCACTGCCTTCTGTTTTCTGTTGGATGTACTCCTCACCCTTCCGGGCAGCATACAGTGGAGATAGTACACAACAAAAAAGGATGTAGATAAAGATGAAACATCAAGGGAAGGAAAAAACATTGAATTTGTGATCAAAGAGTAATTGGTGAATTATGCGCAGATTTGAGAAGTCACTTAAATTCAGTAATATTGCAACTAACATTTTCAATCATTTTATTCAGTTCCCGTGTCAGATATCTGGGGTTGAAACCAGTTTTACCGAAATACATGATACCGGCGATAAATTCCCTGATTAACTGTTTCTTCTTTCTCTTCCACAAGGTTAACGGTACCAATGTATCTACAATGTCCCATGAATCCGTGGTTCAACTTATCCGAAGCTCCGGTGAGACATTGGGAATGAAAGTGATCACAGTACCGAATACATATAATCCGTCCATGTCCTCGATGATCTCGTTGAATCAAACTCAAGGTAAGATGGGATGGCATTCTTTCATCGCGATTCCGCAATCTGATAAACCATTCCCGATCCTGATTACAAGCCGTTTTGAATGACTCAAACCGGGACTAATATTTTCTGTTAACGGAGCAGTTCTTCGGAGTGTAATCAAGCACGAGAAAGGAGTGAGCGGAAGAACAAGACAGACGAGAGAGGGTTTTCCAAATAATTGTCTAAAACTTTAGGGCCTCCGATTCATCACAATCGGTGGTTACAGACAGTGATATATCCTATCCTTGCAACCTTATCCTGTATGAATTCTCAATTTCCTTTTTGATTCTGCTATCAACATTCCAGTCTTCCTTTTGCTGCTTCATCCGAAGGGCAGCCTTGAAACAGCAACCAAAACTGCCTCACGAAGTTGAACGGTTAATGGTCGTAAAAGCTTAAATGAATTGAGATTATGAGCAGAGCACTAAATTCCGCTAATTGAACTTATCGTGATTAGTTGATGATGTGAACACTACCAGAATGTTAAAGACATGACTACAGCGTTCCCGTAGATAAAAATTTAATACTTATAATAAAGAAGTAATCATCAAATATGTATCCTTTTTGAGTGAGCAAATAAAATAATTAACTCATTGCATATTCATGTATTTTATTGAAGCGTATTTAAAAACACATGTTAAGCGTATCTCATCTAACAGCTAAAGGAATACCAATTGTGTATACAGCACAAAAGGGAGGGAAGCGTTGAACAAGTGCTAAAAATTATATAAAGAAACAACGTACGACTTCACTTTCTCGGAGTTTCACCTATTTTGCAGAGGTTTCTATCGAACATGACCATCGCGATTCGAGAATGATTGCTTTGAATACTGTTATTGCCTACTTTACCTTTATTTATTTAGTGTTTGACCGATTTACAAACTTTCAGTCACTCTTGTAGCTATATCCTAAGCGTTGACAAAATATTGAAAGTTGGTTCTTGTTCTCGGGACGAAAGGACAATCTCCCCCCTCCCACCCTCAACCCCTCGCACCAGTTCAACGGCGAACCGAGTCGAACACAGTGAGAACGGGGGACGAAAATAATCGGTGGAGAACACATAAATAAATTGGTACAAGCACTGCCACTGCCACTTCACAAGCACTGATGATTTCGCCTCGGCTGGTGATGAAACGTTTGCAAACAAATTGCCAAGCTCGGCGAACAGACGAAATGGAAATTCCTAAACGTCTTTAGTGTGAGATCACTTGACAACAGAAGAAGGAAGAATTTGGTTGAGCTATTACCATTTGACGAAAACGTCCGAAAGTTCATAGTAGATACTATGAAGGATCGCAATAACCGATTTGGGGGTGGGTGCAGAAAAATAGCTGGTCTGAGACTAAGCGAACAGACGGGCGGGACAAGCGTCAGTCCAAAAGGACCTATGCGATGCATATGATCTAGCGGATACTGATTGTGTGATAGTGGTTCGACACCATTCTCACCAAGTTGACGAGTGATAACCCACTGCAAAGACTGAGGCTCACTGACTGGTCCACACTCGCGGACATTTGGACCATGTGAACAGGTCTGAAGGGAGAATCTGATGGTCTATTTCTAGTTCTCAGTGCATTCACATATTATCATCTGCATGAAAAATGTCAATAGTTAGTTGTCCCGATTGAATTATAAGGAGTTTCTCAGAGATTCATCGTACTTTGGTGTTCCATTGCTTTATATTCATTCAAACTGTAAACCATCAAAAGCAGAAAGGGTAAGAGAGAATTTTGAGGTAAACCCATTGTGTATCCCACCATCGCCACCAACACCAGTGACAATAACAACACCAACACGGGTAGCAATGTTGATTGATAGAAAACTTTTGATTAGGTGACAAATAACCGTCCTGCCTCGAATTGCTCTTCTCAACATTTATCTAATATCTATATATCAATCCCACACTCATATTTATCAATTTAATATTTGATTGCTCAGTGCACACTGATTTAAAACTTGGTGAAAAGCATCTCTCTATCGTATTTCAATCCGCGAAAAAATCCTATTACCGAGAATGAGTCAATGCACCAATGGTTGCGATATTTCATCTGAGAAAACCAAATAAAGTGGAAAAAGCAACAGTAAATATATTTCTCAGGGCAGTAGTGTCACTTGAAAGGTGTTAGCAGTACAAAATATTCGTATGATTCATCCTCCCGAAATGGGATGAGTATCGGAAGCAATTAAATTCCTGATTTGCTCGCACATACGCGCAAAGGAATAATGATAATAATAAAACGAATATGATTGCAATTTCGAAATCAGGCATGGGTACGATCCGACAATCAGACAACCATGCTCATTTGAGATCAACACTGAATGATTTATCGGATGCACCGGACAACTCCAGTGTCTATTCGGCTTCCACGAATGGGACAATGCGACCCGGCAATTTGGGAGAACGTAACCGACTGCGTTTGGCAAATGAACCCGTAAGCGCTTTTGCTCTGAACTCTGGGAACGGTCAGTTAGGTGGAGATCAATCAGAACTGCTCTCTCACTCTCGACTATCGGCTCCCAAATCCCCTGCCTCGTTGA